ATGGGAGTTCTCAAGTGCATCTTTTGTCTTTAGGTAGAGGATGATGTTCCATATACTTTTTACACAAAAATATTTTAAAAGTACAAATGTCAGTCATGTAAGGATTGAAAACTCAAGAAGAATGTTGCAGGCTGTTGCAGACTACTGCCATGAATAATTATTACTCTCTGCTGAGAGTTATCACATACACAAAAAATGCTGTGAAAGGCTCTGATTTTTTCCTGGGAAAGGTACAGTAATAATTTAGTTTGCTTGCTTACCTTACCTTTATTGGGTTAAAAAACCCTGAACAATATTGAAGAATTCTTCCAAGAATATTACTCTTTTTTGCCTCAGGCATCTTCTTAGACTGTCCTAGAAAGTACTACAGCTAAACAGATGGTCATGAACAACAAACCTGATCTGACTAAAGGGAATATTCCTGAAATGGCTCTGTCTTACAGTAGATGTAGTTCACTGGGCTGTTTTAAACTGTTTGGGTTTTGATATGTACCTGCTATCTAAACCTGTATCTGATATATGTACCTCCTTATCCAAAGGGACAAGTAATGTTTTCAAAGCAGTAAAGTGGAGTCAGATATTAGTCCATGTTTAGAGTAGCTGCATTTCAGAATGGGTACAGTGATGCCTGGGCTTTCCACTGGTGATTTCTGTCCTGAAAGAAGCTGGCTGTTAGAAACTGGTATCAGCGTGACCACAGACCTGTAAAGAGAGTACAGCTTTGGAGTGGTGTGGTTTAACCCCTGCTGAAGCCAGGACAAATATGCAGAATTAGAGTAAACCAAGGATTTTAAGGGTTTATTCCAGTGCTTGGGCACTGTGAGACCACCTGGTACAACTCTGCAGGGGGCTCAGCCTGCTGCTCTTTGGAAGCAATGACATCAGCAGTATGCTGTGCCCAAAGGAACATGTGCCTCAGACAGACAGGTGACATCCCTGCACAGGAGGGAGGAGGGGTGCTGTATTGGCTCTGTTTTGCATGGATATCTCATGCAGGTGGGAAGTGTTGAGGCAGCTGAGCCCCAAGAGATGGCAGCACAACAGGAACTGTTACATTTTCTCCTTCCTAAAAGTTGTACTGTGAGCTGCAGATCAACTCATCACATCTCAAGGATCCTACATTCCCAGTACATTTTAATTAGCACTACTGATATCTTTACAATTGCATACTATGTTAATTTTCACTGTTAATTCTAGTTTGTGTTATGGTTGGCTAGGAAAGGAAAATATGTGTAGCACTGTGCTTTTGAGCTTCTGGCCTGAGCCATCTGGAACAGGTTATTTCATCAGTCATGTTATGAGATGGCAATTATAATTCAGACAGTGAGCAAAGCAGACCTCATCTGATAATCTAAGGTAGTCTTTGAAAAATTATAGGCAACCCTCCCCAAACACCTGGAGTTTGCAACTGAGGTTCTTTCCTGGGAGGTGAAAGAAATGAGCCCTACTCTTTCTCGGGCAGAATTAGGGTTTGAGGCCATGTTTCCTGTGTGGTGCTATCCAAGGGGCAGTAGGGTGAAATGTGTGTGTCAAATCACTGCCTGTGTTGAAACATCAACATGTGACAATATCAAAAGCTGGCTTACTTGGCAGTCTCCAGGAACACTTAGATCAATGTCCACATCAGGCAAAAGCTCAACTTGTGAATCTCACAGAGCTCAGATGCTTAGATGCTATCAAAACACAGTTGTTTCTACAAGTGCCCAGCAGTTTTGGGGTAAATGGTAAAAAATGTTTTACCATTTTTGCTCGTAAAAACTTTTGGTTCCCTAAGATTTGTAGGAGCAAAATGAATGTTTTCAGTGTCTATAGCTTGGACATGCAGGGTCTAAAGTGTCAGTTATTGGAAAATTCCTTTAATGAATTTTGGTTTGTATGGCTGGGTAAAAGATGTCTATGACTTGGCATGTTGAACGACTTGGGGCTCACAGATCTACCACCATACAGACTTGTGTGCTTTGACTCTTCTCACAGTTCAAGAAAATTTTCTTGAAAATGTTCAGAGTGGGGGAATTTCAAAAAATGACAAGAACATCAAAGAAGGGTGTTTGACAGATATGGTTCTGGAGAAATGTAAGAACAAAATCAGAGTTAAAAAAGGAGATGAAATGTTGTGAAACTTAGAGGAAGACTTGTTTCTGCAAGGAAGATTTTCTGTTCAGGATGCTAAGTGAAATTAACTATTTTTAAGTTCCCTGACTTATTTACAGCTTTTGTCTTAGCATTTAGAATCAGTCAGATTATGTTTCTAGTGCTGAGGGCTCCTGTTCATCCAATGCTGTGCTTCATCTGCAGGAGCATAACTCTATTCACATGTGCAGTTGTCTTATCCAAAGAGAGTAAAGTTATACAACACTTTTTATGTCCCCCTTATTATATATTACACAATTTTCAAAATCAAAGTCTTAATTGGAGATACGGTTTCAACCCTAGCTATGCACAAAGCAAACTTTGAGAACACAGTTATTTAAGAGAGCCCCATTTTATACTGGGGACAGTTCTGCACCTCCTCACGAAGACAAAGACACTGTCAAGGCAAGCTAAATAAAGTAATGGATTTTATAACTCAGGGGGATATTTGAGACCATTGACGTGAGAGCACCACTACACATGAAGTTTAGCCAACATCTTAAGCATAAATGCTGAAGGTGCCAGCACAGGGTGTTGAAAGGTGCATCAAATTGTTCATTTTTATAGGATGAATAAAAGGATTTTATGCACCACAAAATCCTTCCCTTATACAACCCTTCATACCAAACAGAGTTGTGAAAAGGCTGTGGCTGCATCTGATTGTTTTGTGACTGATGGCAGTTACAGAAAGGTACTGCAGAAATTCCACTTAGCCACAACATCAAATCCTTTTATTTTGGAAAAATAACAGTCACCAAGCTGTAAACTAGCCCAGGTTGTGGTTTGGTACACTTTTAATACTCTGGTTTTTATCCACTCCAGCTGTCAGATGGAGACAGGAAAAATCAAAACATTTGTACAGTATTTCTTCTTAAGGGAGCCCCTTAGGTGGTGAGATCTGGATTCACCTCCCGTCTCCAGGACTGGAGCACCTCTGCCAGTTGGCTGATGGATCAGAACTCTGAGGCAACTATTTGGGAGCAGACTGGTGCTGCACTCAGTGATTCTGGCATGCATGCAATGATTTTACCATGTGATTGTAGAAAAATTCAGTGGATTAGCAAGTGAAGTATTATCAGATGAAGCAAGTTCTTTGTCCACACAGCTGGATGCACAGAGCATTTGCTTTCCTGTAAAGCAGTTTCTCATTGCTTCAGTAGATTTTTCACACTTCTAACATACAGTGAGCACTGCTACTCTTAGATCTGTTAGCTCTCCAGGTTATTGAGTGTATTGAGAAACTCTGGTGGTATGGAGCAGTGAGAATACTCACTGTTAAACATTTGCCACAATGAAAATTGTCCTGGTCTTTGCTTTCTAGCCTCTCTTGCCTGTTTTCTGATCCATGAAAAACTTCACAACGTGCCCTGCAGCTTCTTCAGAAGTCCCTTGTGCACGTTTTTGTTAGGCTTTTGGGAACTTTATTAAAAGTAAGTAAATTGGTTCTTGTTTATCTGCCAATGTATAGACACTGTTTGAATGATTCCAGGTGAGTGTTTAATTTTCCATGCAGTGCAAGTGATGCAAGCAATTCACTGAGAGATAAACTGTCAGAAATGGCCTGGAGCCTCTGGTGCTGTCATTTTTGAAAGGTAATTTGGACCATTACAGCCTGTTAACAAGATACAGAGGTCTTGAGCTTCCCTTTGGCTCCAGTACAACTTGTGGGGCCTCAGCACCTCTAAAGCAGCTCAGTCCTGGTATCTCAAGCTGGATTTTGAGGCTTAGAGGCAACTTTTATTATTATCTGTTATATCAACTGTAATTCTGTTTCTCAATCTGTTACACAGAGATGTATGATAATAATTTCAGGTTCCTTAGAAATAAAGGGTTTTCTCAAATGGGACACTCAACAGAAATTCAAAGTAGTTGTTTAATGTCCTTGTCTGTCTTTCATTTCAGTGTTCATCTTTGGATCCACTGTAATCTTTGCTGTGTCTGATTGCTTACCTTTCACATCCCATAAATGTTGTTCTTGACCTACTAAAGCTCTGCCTGTGGCAAAGTTGCAAAACACCTGAAAAAGTACTTTATTTCCTTCCTCTTTAGTCATAACTGGAGATCTGCAAGTTATGCTTTTCCTGGAGAAATATTTCATATCATAAACTGCTCCCTTAAGCATGGGGTCAGTTTAAAAAGAGCCAGTGTTTGCAGACAAGCCATTTGCTTTCCTTTGAATGTTTAATTTGTTTATTCCTGTTTTCAAATAATCCCCAAGCAATGTAGTTCCTGTAGCTGTGATAATCATGAATTTGAGTTATTCACCTCCCAGAGGGTCAGACCTTTCATCAGTATGCCATTGGCACAGAGCAGAGAGTGTTGCATATTCATTGTCCAGGACACCAGCTAGAGGGCCTCCAAAAAACCCTGACTTTTTTTTGTTCTCAGAGCAAGGAAAACAATCCCTTCCCTTCTCCAGTCCCTTGATAAGGCTTTCTGTCCAATAACGGTGCTCTCTGCTCTGAGGCACATTTAACTGTGAAGTTTGCAGCGGGAGAGGCTTTCCTTCGAGCTGTTAGTGTTTTATCCTGGCAGGCTCCTCGAGGTTGTTGTGAGGAGTCTAGCCAGTTGGTGAGCTTTGTAATCTAAACCAGCTGTCCCAGGCTGAGGCCCCCATTTGCATTGTTTAACATACTTAGAAAATGAAGTGTTCATTTTTAACATTCCTCCTCCAATTGGTTTAATGCTGAATTACAGAAGAGAACTAAGCAAAACCAGGTGCTTTCTCTGTATTCTCTCCAGTGTCTGAGGAGGTACAGACGGCTCCCGATCTTCTCCATTACTTGCCATTTCATTCTTTGGACTATAAATGACAGAGGAACTGAAGTGCTAGCAGAGGGTAATGTTTGGAAAACTTTCTAGTTATTCATCAGCACAGACTCTGGGTTTTTTCCACCTTTCCCCAACGGTTTTGGACATGCAAGGATTAAGAAGGTAAGTGGTATGCATGAAACTTCTTTGCTTACTGACGAGAAACCTGCTTGTGGAAAATAGCTGTGGCAGGGACATGTTATGCCAATCCACTTGCAAAAGCCATTTGCAAAGGGATCTCAATGATCAGAGGTGGGGAAAGACGATCTGCCTGTTACTAAAGCTGTGCTGTCTCTGACGAGTTCCTTCTTGATCTGTGCTTATACTCTGCGCATCTGCGGCAGTGCTGAACTGCAGCAGCCACGATCCCACTGGCTACAGTGATTGATTGAAGTTAATTAGTTACTATTGCAGAAAATTGCTGGTTTAAAATATTTTGCCTGCTGGGCAAGCTACTGTGACCAGCTGCGTGTAGTGTTGATAAGTTGTGCTGCATGTCTGTTAATAATTCTTGAGGGGATTTTAGATCTAAAGTAACGAGCAAATTGAGATCATGGGTGCAGACAGAACACGTATGAGGCAGTAAGGTCGCTCCCCCACCAAAAGGAAAGAATATATCATCTTGTAGTAAAGGAAACTAAAGACTGTCTAAAAATGTTTGAGTTTTGTCTGGCTATTTTATGGGGGATTTTGTTATCGTGCACTGTCCTGCAGCAATGTGCAGCACAGCCCAGTTGCTGCATATGTCAATATTCTGCTATAACCTGTTGTATTCCTTCCCAATGCTTTTTCTCACTCCATGCAAAGTGAGTATGCAGTCTTTATAGAAATGTACACTTTAAAATCTCTTCAAAGAGATCTGAGGAATCAATAAATTAAATGCAAGCCTAAATGGACAAAATTGTAGTTTGAATGCTTTATATTGAACTCTAAGGGAAACTCTTAGAAAAGGCAGAATTTGCCTTTTCTTGTCACTCAAAAGTTGCCAACAAGCACAATCTGTCTCCACAGCACTATGAACAACCATTTTAGGGTTTTATGTTTACTTTTCAGAGCTTGTCAAATTTGTTGTAATGTGTCGGTCATTGTGTGTGGTTTTGTCTGATGCATTTGTAGGTCTTGCTCAGCAGCTCAGTTTGCACACTGGAAATCAGGAACAGCTCTAAGAGAGAAAGTTGGCAGCTCACATGGGTAGCAGAACTAAGGCTACCTAAAATATCCTCTGCTTCCTGTACTGGTTTTGTGGGAATGTATTGTACCCAATTGCCATTTAGAATTTCAATCCAAGATAAGCAAGGTGTGGATCTAATGATACTAGGAAGTTTTTTATAAATCAGCAGCAAAAGAATGAAATCCACAAGACCAGAAAAAAAGTAGTTTCTGACTGTGCTTTCATGGTTTTCTATCTGTTAGTAAATATTTGGAGGTGGAAGGTTACTTGACCATAATTTTTATGCTCCAGGCAAGGAGCTCCAAAAATAGATGTAGGGCTCTTTTAGTGAGGGAGCCTTGTCTTTCAGTTGCAGTGGAGAGAGACCCAGTAGGGAGCACTAGATGTGAAGATGATGTACCTGGGGAAGGCTGCATTGAAGATAGCAGCTTCTGGTAGCTGGTGACCTGGCACAGTGTGCCTCCTTCAAGGCTGAGCAAAGGGACAGAATCTGGCCCCAAGCAAATGGATTCACCTCAGATAGAGCCTCTGGGGATGAAATGCGGTTTAGCGGTTGGAGCAGCTGGCTTGGATTCAGGACCTCCTGCGTGACATGTCTGCAGCCCTGCCAACACTTCACGCTGTGAGCTTAGGCAGGGCCTTGCTTGGGTTTACCCATCTGTAAAACGTGCACAGTGTGCAAGAGAAGCCTTCATTTTTGCAAAAGAAAGGTGCCAGAGTGGGGGAAGACCACTTTATTGAATATTGCACACTTGTTCATCTAACAGCTGCTGCATTGGGTGTCATAAAAATCAGATTAGTCCATAGACAGTTGCAGTCTGGTTTCAATCCCAGTACCATCAGAGTCATTGGTTTGAGACCTGAATCTGGCCCACAGTTATATTTCTCCTTCTCCAAAGGCCAAATTCACGTTAGCAAAACTGGAATACACTGAAGTGTCACTAGAAATTAATTTGTCCATGTGTATTTAATTCTATGTAACAAGCCTGGATATCAGAAAGTTTTCAGCCTATTTTCTATGCACATTACAGGATACTGACCGCTTTCACACTGGCTGTCTGCCTTTCAAGCCCTGGAAAAGCACAGGTGAGAGGTGCATGCAGAGACGTGTGTACTGGTTTGTACTGAAGTGCTATATGGCATGAAACTTAACTGGCTAGCAGGTGGATAGGAAGCTCTGTGGTCTGGGGTTTACATGGAAAGGAAGTTGTGTGGTCTAAGGGTTTAGAGGGGAGAACTTGGAGCCAGCAGGATTCTGGAGTTGAACATGGATTGAGCTTATTGACTCATCCTTGCCAGCTCAGCAAAATATCCCTGTAGAAACCTGGACCTCACTGAAAATCTGATTCTGCCTCTAAACTGAACACTTCTGGAACAGGAAATAAGAAAAACTATGCCATGAAACCAGAGACTGCTCAGTTCCATTGTGAGAAACATCTGTATTTGGAGAACTCATTCATAGAAATACATCTTTTCTGTGTACAGCAGGATCAAGTCTTAAGACTGTTTAATTTTGGACTGTGATCCTGAATGACTGCATCCCAGTTTTTATTTTCACTTATGCCCAAACCCATTTCTGTTCAAGAGAGTGGATGGAAGTAAAGCAGTCCAGTTCTTGAAAAAGCAGAATCATTAGTTATTTTTATGCTCAGGCTCCAAGTAACTTTAAATTGGGAAAAACTGTTCCTAAAGGCATGTTGTTTGGATCTCTAGTTAATAGTCCAGATATATTTGGTATCCAGAGAAGTGTTTCTAAATACCTTTGCCAAAAGCCTCTGAAATGTAGTTGTTTTTTTGCTATTACATTGAAAAATTCCTGCACTGGTCATGCTTATTTATATTTTTGTGATTATTGGATCTGTATGGGAAATGCTTTTCATGCCCCTGGAGAATTTTTGAGATGTCTTTAGAGGTTTGTTGTTATAATTTAAAAAATATTGTTTACATTAGAATTTTTATAAAAACATCTTGTAATATAAATTGATTTTTGAAGTTGCTTTGAAAAAGCAACTTGAAGCTGAAACACCAGCAATGACTTCTTTCTGAAGATACTGAAACTGGTAATTTTGACAATATTGGAATCTTTTCTAGAATAAAGTTCCAGAAAGTTTTTGAAACCAGTCCTACTATAGTTTCAGTGTTTCTGAATCGTCATTTTTTGGCCAAAACAAAATAATTTTCTTAACAACTATTTGAGCTTTTCCAGCTAACCTAGGTGTAGTGTGTGCACACAAAAGGGAGAACAAAAGGTAGAGTACATACATTCTTTAAAACATGAGGGTAATTATACATTCTCCCATTAGAATATCTTGGCTTTCCACAACATGATACCAAAACATCTTGGAATGGCAAAACAAATGAAGGCAGAATTCCTCCATACTTGTCTGACACTTTTAGCAGGGGTTTTGTGTATTCACATGTGCAAGTGGCAGGTGCAGTCCAAACAGTGCCATGTGTTTCACTTCAGTCCTGTCCCTGGTTCCTGCAATGACCCACTTCCACTGACTCACCCCTTTAACCCTTTGTCTCCCATCTACAACTTACTACTTTTCCAAACATCAATTAAGCGCTTTAATCTGCCACTCATGAAGTCCAAAAATATCTCTATCATTAAGATATGACAAAAAAGGAAGGATCTTGAGCACACTCCATCCCTCTGCCCTCTGGTGGCTTCAGTGGTTCCTGTTTCCTGGATATCTCTTGCTTACATTGCCTAGTACAACCCATTTACTGGAAGATCCTATGCTTGTGTCAATTGCTTTGCCCCTTGCTAAATAGCTGGAGGCTCAGTCAAAAACTAGGAAGAGCAGAAAATCATTTTAACAGACTTTGAAACCTTTATCACCAGGACTGTCACCAATTTAGAGATGCTGAGGTCACTGAGGAGGTATTGAAGACTCAAGGCTGCAGCCTTGATCATGACCAGCAGAATAGGAAGGAACAAGGCTCCCAGTAGCCTTGAATGCCTATGACATGTTGTATAAAGATTTATCCTCTGAAAACTACAAGGTTTGGTGGAAAAGAAGAGCCTTATATTTTTAAGCTTGTTATGCTTCAACTGTGGCTCTGGATCAGTCAGTGCCTGATGTGTTGTGTGCTGAATGGGCTGTCAGGGGAGCTTCAGAGCCTGTGGGAGATGTAACAAGGACCTTCGAGATGAACCCCCCTGTTCTGGCAAAACCAAAACCCCAAATTAGAAGACTGTAATTCTGTGCTAACAACTCATAACACATTGTACCCCTGTACTCATAACTCATTGGTGGCCCCTGGGCAGAGGAACAGCCTGACGCTGCCATCCCCTGAGGGTGCCACTCCTGAGCTAAGGGACTGGAACCTGTGCTGAGGCCTCAGGGTCATGGCTTGCTGACTGTCCTCTGGGGAAGGAGCTTTATTTTGATGTACTGTACCCTGCTGAACAATTGTACTAATCATAATAACCCAGATGAGCATTTGACTCTGCAAATCTCTCATTCACCATCACTGAGTGTCCTTTTTTCTCTCATTTTAGCAGCAATGCACTAATGGGTTTGACCTGGACCGTGCCTCTGGGCAATGCTTAGGTAGGACTTTGATTAAATCAATATATTTAAATTTGGGTTCAGAAATCCTGAATTTATTGAGTTAACATTGTGGTGCTCCTACTATGTTTTAGATGAAAATTTCTTACTGTGTGATAAATGTGTGTTTGTATACATGTATATACAACAAATATGTGTATATATAAATATGTGTGTATGTGTCATTCATAGCACTGATCTTTGAAATTGTTGAGATACTAACAGGCTGTCAGGGCTACTCAAACAACAATGATGCATTTTGATAGGAGTTCAGTGTAGCTGCCAAAGGACAAGGGCTGTTCACCCTCCTTCACTTTCTCCTTCAAACTCAGGATTTATTGTCTTTGTTGCCTGTCTCCACCAGCAGGCTCAAATAAAGTCTTCCATTCTCAGAAATTGAAACTTCAAGTAAACTGAGCTGAGGTACTGTAAGGAAATCTGCACTTTGTCCAGTAGCATCTTTTTGTCAATCAGTCTCCGGGGCAGCATCTTATACATGCCATAAAGTCACCCAAACAGAAAAGGAAAAACCTGCAGCAGATTGTTTGTTCTGCCATAGCCTACTGTTTCTGTGACCCAAAATCCAGGGGAATGCTCCATTTGGCTAAAGCAGTTATATCTTTCTAAATTTAATTCAGCCACAATTTCAGTCAAAGCAAGAGGCCTGAACTGTGTCCCCAGATCCGAGCATCCCTAACTCGGAGGGAGGGAACTGAGACTTCCAAAGCAGGATCCAAATTTCACAGCTGGGCAGACCAAACCATCAGTTTCTGAAATCCTGATCTGCATGTTGTGGTTTGGACAGACCCTCCAGCAGGAACAGGCAGTAGCATGCTGCAGCCATGTGTAAATCAGTGTTTAAACCAAACTTCTACGGAAGAGCAAAGCAGGCCTTGTCCTCTCCATCTATCCTCTAATAGTATGAGTACTCTAGAGTGCTCATAGTATTAGAGGATAGAGGGATAATAAATATAATATTCTCTAATACTCATAGTATTAGAGGATATAGTACTCATAGTATTAGAGGATATAGTATGAGTACTCTAGAGTAGTTTTACTACTCTAATAACAGGAGTAGGTCACAGGATATGTTGAATATAAAAGATGTTTTCTGTTTTAGTGCAATCTAACTTCAAAGTGAGGCTCCACAAGAAAGGGTTAGCCATTTAATGGAGAATATAACTTTTTTTTGCAATGTTATGCAAAAAACACATGAACTATTTTTTGACCAGTCCCATTAAGGAGCAGTCACTTCTTAAACCTTTGCAATTTCCTTGCAGACATTGATGAATGCCGGACCATTCCCGAGGCCTGCAGGGGAGACATGGTGTGTGTGAACCAGAACGGGGGCTATCTGTGCGTGCCCCGCACAAACCCCGTGTACCGCTCGCCCTACCTGAGCCCCTACTCCAACGTGTACCCACCACCCCCGGCCCCCGGCCCCGTCCCCAACTACCCCACGGCCACCCGGCCCCTCATCTGCCGCTTCGGCTTCCAGCTGGATGAAAACAACCAGTGTGCTGGTAAGCACTACAAATCCTTCTTCTAATTTGCATTTATGTTAAAGCCTGTCTGACATTGCAGAAACAATTGTCCTGCAGCTGTCCTTCAGTTAATGCAGCAGTCAAGCCCAGTATTTTGAAGTCAAATTTTTTTTTAAGGATATAGGCTGTATGCTTCATATAATTATTCCATGCAAACTAAGATGTTGCCGTCTTACTTCAAAAGTTCCATACCTTCTCAGCAATTTCTCAAGTGCAGCTCTTCACAGCACCGACTCCATCTCTCTTCAGAGCACATCCAACAAACTCCATGTCTCCTCTCACCCAGCTAACCCACTCTTTTGTAGCACTCTTCTTCTTATTGGACACAGCTGTGGCCTATTAAGGGCAGGCCTGTTCCTAATCTTTGGTGATTAGCACAACTGCAGCTCCTCAGGTGTGAGATTACCTTCTGCACTATATTTTCTTACATTCTATCCCTCCACACTAAGATACGACTCAGTCCTATTATTTAAGCAGAAAAGCCATTTTCATGAAAAATGTAATGTTTCTATGAGATAAACAGCCATCTGATGGCAGGTGATTTGTCAGTGCATCAAAAGCATGCCTTTAATGCTGATGATTCTGTCCATGAGAGAGAAGGTGGCCCTTCATTTGAAGTGTTAGGTGGAGCCTGGGGAAACTTCATTCATCTCTTGGCTGTATGTGAGCTGGTCTTTGACAAGAAAAATACTAAACCAGAGAAGCCATGAGCTTTCACAGCCTCTCTTTAGACTGAGGAACAGCACTTACTTCAAAACTACAACAGAAAAACACAAGACCTAAAACTGACTTGTCTTTTGGACTTATGTTGCCCTATTGTCTGAAATTTCTGGCAGGACTTGGTTGCAGATGATGTCCTTTCTTTGTTTCCCTACTGAGGAGACCACAAGAGCTTCATAGGAGCTTTAAAAGTCTAGAGTTAAATTCAGCTAACATTTGGGACATATTTTTTGTATTTGAATCATTGTCCTTTCCAAGGTGGGAAAGACATATTTTCTCACCAGCACTCACAGTAACACTGACTGGAAAAATAAAACTAAAAAAAAAAAAAACAAAAAAAAAAGGAAAGTCATAAACCTTGGGTTTTTTGAAGAGTTCTTAAATCATGGGATCACTGAAGTTTGCTGTAAAAATAAGCATTTTTGCTATCTGATTCTTTGAAAACAGCTTCTAGTCCATTTCATCTTAGCAAATTGATCAACCTGTTCTTTTATCTACTGATTTGTAGATTTCCAGGAAGGTTTTCATTTTGCTCAGTTTGCTTTAGATGATTCAGGAAATGGGGTAGTTAGTAGAAAAGAAATGCTGAAATGAAAGTGGAAATGAAACCTCTGAATGATACTGTCTGGTCTGCTCCATGCAAACCAGAATAATCAAAACAGGAAGATTTAGGGAACTTTTACAGTGAACTTTCCAGCTTCCAAAGGGCACATATGTTCCTATTTATGCTAGCAGAAATGAGAGAACTTACACTTTTTTCAGTCAAGACTGCTCACTTCAGTCATTTTAACTTTCAAATATTTGGGATTTAATTGTAAAGAAAGTTTGGTGATGAGAGACATTAATGAGAATGCATGGGAAAGGACAGGCTGCCATTTGAGCACCACAGCAAGTGGGAGCAGTTTTTGTAAGTCTACATCAGATTTGAGTTTGGGTAGATGATGTGACAAAGGAAGAAAAACAGAACTAAAAGAAAATGAGACATGTCAGGGGTCCATGCTGGATTAGATTTCATTTTTTATTTAGTGAAATTCTCTGGAAATATTCACTATTTTGATGCAGTATCTATTGTTGTATCTGTGTGTGTTTTGTATCCCTGTGCCCCAGGATGGAAAGAATGGTCACCAAAGGAAGTAATTGGGTCCAGGTCTCACTGTGGTGCTGGTAGAAAGGCCTGATCCTCTGTTTCCAAGGTTCCTGGAGCAGTTAAGAAGGTTATGTGTAGTGCCTTGCTTGAAGTTCTTAGAGGCAAGACATCAGGGAACCTTGACAGGGTCCTCAGGAGCAACCTAAATTTTACCAGGTCATTCAAGAAAGTCTGACCCACAGGATCATGGCATCCATAAGCCAATTATAAGCATCACTCATGTTAATGGTATTTCAGCTGCTCTCTGCTTACCTCCTTGTCCATATTCAGCATGTTCTTAGGATACAAAGCACTCCAAGGGCTAATTGTGTGGTGGAATGGTTGAAAATCATGAACTAGAAGTAATTTTGACCAGTAGCTGGGCCACTATGTAACAGGTTTGTTAAGCTGGTGTTCAGACACCACCGTCTAGCACCTTCTTTCCAAATAAAATTAGTCAAAGGTATTTCCATTAGAGATAATGAGATTTTCTGCTATTGACTGCAGGGGAACCAGAGCTATTCTTGTGCCAATGTGTCTGGGCAATTTGCAGATTTTAACAGAGTACACATTTTTGTCTGGTCAGATACAGGGTTACAGATCAGGGTCACATTTTCTACTGCTAGGACAACAGAAATGTTTACTTTCACTTTGAATGTCAGTCAAAACAGCTTATTAAATACAGGAGCATTTTCTGGGAGACTGGGAGATTTACAGCCTCAGCTTTGAAGCACTGAGGTTGTTCAAGAGACTCCCAAAGTGAAACAGGACAAAAATTTGATCTGAAAGTTGTGTGAGTTTTAACAAGCTCTTTCTATTTTTATTTTTTTCCTACCACTCCACAAAATGTAGGGAGGCTGCAAGAAGGTTGCTCTGTCCCAGTCTGGCACCTGGCCTGCCTGCCAAGGCCCCACATTCCTTGGCTCTCAAGGGAATGTGCACCCCTGGCTGTTCACATAACATTCCCCCTCGTGGGGCTGATATGTTTCCATGCAGCAAAAAAAGAGATATTATCCATTCTTCTCCCTTTCAAGCTTTTTGGCCTCATCCTTTCTGGCCTGGATGGTCACAGACAGTGGTTAAGTGTCCACAATCCTTCCCTATCCTGGCCACCACTCAGTCTTGCCAAGATTCTTTCACCTCCAGATGTTGTCCTTTATAAAAACAAAACTTTTCCTGGCTCAAGTGCCTCTCAAAGACACCTGTCCACGATAGCTTTGCCATCCAGTGTCTTCTGTGTTCTGCAGAAGTACCTGTAGCCATTTGTGGTAGCAGACAGAGAAATGTTTTAATGATAATTACTTGTTAAGTCTTCCGTGTGTTTGATTCCTAATACGTGGTAATTTTCACCCCTGGAGCTGCTGAGTGCTTTATATTTTGTATATGTAAGTGGTCAGTGTTTTCAACAGCACAGAGTTTTTGTAAATCATTCCAAAGCAGGTTGGGAATGATTTATAACCACAATTAATGTTGGAATAAAAGATCACATACAGAAAAAAGCAAAGAACATCTCGTGCAAGAGCACTGTTTGGACTGTTTGTCTTCTAACATTACTTCTCTATAAATACAGAATGGGTTAGTCATAATAATGACTTTTTGCACAAGGAACTTGGTCTAGTAACTGTTGGCTCCAAATTACTGGAGTGAGGGCCTGTGTTCTTGCTTTATACATTTGTAAGCTGAGAGCTCTTTCCAGTTTCCTTTCACTCCACCTTGCTGTTTCCTGATTTACAATGATCTTCAAAACATGCCTCAAACACAGATCCTTCTGGGCATTGTGAAAAGAACTGTACTGGGTGGGCTCTTATTATTGCTTTCTCTCCAATTAATGCAAACTCACAATGTGAGGAGATGATGGGGTTGGAGAGGGTTGAATAGAGAGTTCAGAGAAAGCAGATCTCAAAGATAGAGAGGCAAATGCTAGGAAAAGTACGAGCATAAGGTCAGATGAGTATGACCTAGATACACAGAGAAGGGAGGAGGGCAGAGGAGGTAATTAAAAAAAAACAAACCCAACAAAACATAATTGTTATTTTTAAAGCGAAAGGTAAAAGGAAGAAGGAAATGGAAGGATGCTGTCCCCAAGTACAAGAGAGAATTGTTTTTCGTGCCCCATTTGTGCAGTAGTCATTGCTTCAGCTTTCCTTGTTTCTCAGAAATTGGCAGGATCTCCTATATTCCCCACCTATGGGTCCCCAGTCCTACATTTGTGGAGTGAAACTCCTTCCTTCAAAAGATTACCTTTGCACAGATGGGTTTTAGATCATTATCTTTATATTGCAAACGTACCTAAACCCCACATCCAAGCCTGCAGTTGTACTGCCCTGCCTTGTGCCCAACCTCATTAAGAGCAGCCTATGTCTAGATGAGTTTTCAAGCAAAATGAAGGAACCAGATGTTCCTGTGTGGGGAAAGGGAAGGGAAATTAAAAGACAGAGAACTGAAAGGAGGTGCCCAGGTCTTGCATCAGGCTCATGGCTGTGCTGGGATCGTGCCCAGAGTTCCTTATCCAATGGCTTAGCCATCAAGCTAGGCTGCCTCCTCCTAATGACTTTCCTAGTCACCTCTCTGTGCATATAGAAAAAGGAGGAAGAAAAGTAGGGAAATGCAGCAAGGAGATTATCCCTTACTAGGGTTTGTATAAAGTAAATAACAATGGAATCCACTCCCACTGTTTTAACCCTATTTGGTTCAGTTCTGTGTCTTTCCCTCTTCCTCTTGGTCTGTGAGACAATCTCTTTTGCTGCTCCAGAGGGCCAGTTCCTGAAGGTTATGCATGATCCCTGTTAGGGAATTACTGCCATCATGTCCAAATTAACCAGAGAAAGAAGGAAAGATTACATGAGAACAGATTCTGTGAGAGGCTGAGCTCAGACTTCTGAAAGTATAGGCAATTGTTGACAGTTCCTGATTAAACTAAGGGCATGATGTGTAGCTTTTACTTGTAGTATGGTTTTCTGATGGGCTTGTAGGAGGAAATGTGAATTGAGACCTCACACTGCCATAGCAATGGGAAGGTTTCCTCTCAAGCATCTCAGGAGTTTATAGCTGGTGGCTAAGGCTTGGGCTGGAGGAGTTTGTGTTCAGTTCCTGGCTTTGCCATAAAGCATGACATTCCTGGAGTCACTACCCC